ACTAAATGCCCATAATATTGTGAAGAATGTGAATCATTTACAAAATGTTCAAAATGTTTATTTGGTTATTATTTATAAAATGGATAATGTTAACTCAGTTGTACGATTGGAAAAACTGATAGAAAGAATATAAAGTGTGTTGATGAATGCGATGCCTCTTTATTTGAATATTAAAATGAATGTTTAGAAAATTGCCCTACTGATCCAATTCTATATAATAATAAATAGATATGTGCTCATAGTTGCCCATAAAAAACATATTAAAATTAGTAAGAATGTAAAGATTGTAATTTATCATGTGCATCATGTATTGGGCCTTCTGATTAAGATTGTATCACTTGTTCTGATGGATATTATTTGGATAATCAAATTTGTACATTAACATGTCCATAATTATATGATGAAGTTAATAAATAGTGTGTTCTTACATGTCCTAATAATCTCTACTAAGATAACAATAAATGTGTAGCAATTTGTGGTATTTACTAATACCTTAATATCTGTGTTAGTTCCTGTCCACCATTAACTTATGTTTAAAATTCAAAATGCTATGATTGTTCTGAAAATTGTAATGAATGCAATTCTTTTGGGTGTATCAAATGTGCCCTTGGTACATATTTAAATGATGGCTTATGTAATAATTATTGCCCTTATTATTACAATAATGTTAATAATGAATGTGCTTAATTATGTCCTAAAGATAGTTATTTATATATTGATCATTGTTATTCTCAATGTCCATTAAGTACTTTTTAGTATAAGAATGACTGTCTTTTAGCATGTCCATCATTAACAGTGTTATTGAATAATTAATGTCTATAATGCCCTGAAAGATGTTTAATTTGTAAAAGTGAATATGAATGCTCTAAATGTGAAAGCCCATATTTTTTATTCAATGGCTCCTGTGTTATACATTGCCCATTATAATTACCATTTGAAGACATTACTAATGGCTAATGTGTATCTGCTTGTCCCCCAGAAGCTTATGAGAAGGGATATGAATGTGTAAAGGAATGTAATTTAGTCATATACTAAAAATAATGCCTGTAAAAATGTCCTACTGGATATTATGGTAATGATTATTGTAAACCCTGCCGATTAGAATGTAAAGCATGTTCAAGTTTTGAAGTTTGCACAGAATGTAACGATAATTTTTTCCTTGAATTTAATTAATGCGATACATTATGTACAAAAATTAAGGATATAAAATCTAAATCCTGTGTCGACACATGTAATTTATTTTTGTATAAAAATGTTTGTTACGAAGCTTGTCCTTAAAAAACTTATGAAAATATCAATGAATGTGTCTAAAATTGTAATGATGGTTATTATGGTTCTTAAGACTATAAATGTAAATAATGTCCATAAGAATGTGGAAGTTGCATAAATGCTTTAGAATGTACTAAATGTAATATTGGATATTTTCTTTATAATAAAAAATGTTTGGATTAATGTCCAGGATAATTTTTTTCTAACCCTGTAATTAATGAATGCTCAACAAAATGTCCATTATAAACATTTACATTTTAGAACTCATGTCTTTTTGAATGTCCTTCTGAATATTATAACGATATGGATAATTATAAATGTGTAAGTAATTGTGGATCTTAATAATATTTAAGTAAAAAAAACTGTTTTAAATGTGCAATAGAATGTGATTAATGCACTGGAAGAGGAAACAGTAATTGTATCAAGTGTGCAAGCAGTTTTTAATTAACTTAAGACGGCCTTTGCATAGGCAACTGTAAAGAGGGATATTATAAGTCAGATAATTCATGTCAAAAATGTCTACATAAATGTTAAACATGTGAAAATGGAACTGATTGTATCAAATGTAGAGGTACAAATAGAAACACTTAAGATTGCTCTTGTCAGAAAGGGTATTATGATGATGAATTTTATGATGATTGTTAAAAATGTCCTTGTGATGAATGTACTGCTAGTGATAACTGTCTTGTATGCAAAAATAATCTATAAGTTCCTAAATGCTCTTGCGATAGAATACTTAATGAAGATTGGTGTATAACTTGTCAAATAGCAAAGGTTAATATCTATTTCACTGATGACCTAAATTAAATAATTGTTTATTTTGGTTATTTGATTTCTGTTAATTTAATCAATCCATTTTAACCTTCAGATTGTTCTTTATGGTTTGATAATTCAGAAATTTTTGGTAAAAATTCCTAATGCTATTTATCATGGAACAGATATGCTGTTCATATAATTTTAAAGCCGTATGCATCTGTTAACATTGGAGACAAGTTAAGTTTTAAAAACTCCTTTTATAGAGATATAGACCAAGGCATTTGCGATGGTTAATTTATTGAATAATTTATTGAAAATAAAGTAAAAGAACCTTAAAATTTGTAAAAACCTTATATCCTATTTGATATCCCTTCATTTGTTAGTACATGCAAAATTATATTTATCAAATAAATCCTACTACATGGTACTGGTTAAAAAATCTAGAATGTATTGTCTTGGACTCTTAAAGAAATGGAAGATGAAGAATAATATCTACAAATGGATGCATTTTTAGCAAATCAATAAAATGAAATTACAATTCCAATTGGAACATTGTAACCAAATGTCACATATACAATCACAGCTAAATATGTTAATTTCTTGCAAAGAGTCAATTTTACTACTTTTACATTTACAACCCTTCCAATTTAAGCTCCTTATGTGTTTTTATCATATGAACCTCTGATTGCAAGAGTTTATGTATTTGATTGTCATGTCTCTTACTCAGATTTGAAAAATGAATTCAATGTTGCTATTGAAATAACAGGTAGTAATAACGAATCATATATTTCGTTAAGTTAGTAAATTAATCCTATATATGAAATTCCTCTAAATGAGTCTCTTCTTCCTAAAGAAACTCCATTATTATTTACTGCCTCAACTGGTAGTTCGATAATAAAAGAAACTATTAATCTAAAATCTAAAATAATTGATATTAAATTTTTATAAAAAAATAGATTTATAGGTTTGGATAATTAAATTAATGCAAGAGGTTTCGATAGAAATATAGAGGACGAAGTTTTGAGTACTATAGGGATTACTTATGAATGGCAATGCAACAACTTAAATAATTTATAACCTTGTAAAACTGATGAAAACTAAATTATGCAATTCCCTTCAAGAAGAATAGTCAATATCTTTGCTGATAGTTAGAATACAACTTTAGTTTTCTTTGCAAAAGCATCTAAAGGTGACAGATGGACTGTCAAAGAATAGTTGATAGTTATCACAGATTTTAACATCGAAGAAGAATTTTATATAAATAATGAAGATCCATAAAATTATATTAATGCAAATGATGAAGTGACAATCTTATTAAAAAAATAATAAAAGTATGCTTTTATTATTCAATAACATAAAATTTTGTAG